CCGCTACACTCTGGAGCCTCCTGTAGAACTCCCCTCCCAGCCATCTTCCGCCTATGCCAGCGTGCGCGTCCTCAACTGCACATCTGATAGCCCTGCTCCTTGACTCAGAACCAACGGGGCTACAGCCCAAACCTCTTAATACACCAGGTGAAGAGCTCAGGTCCTAGCTCTGGTTTTCTTCTCTGGGCTCATTTCTGGGCACGTCATTCTCACAACCTACTTTGGGCCCAGTAGGGACTTCTGTACTCTGACTGGAGCCACCATTTCTCTGCCCTCTGGGCCATCACTTGAAGGTGGCTTCCTTCAAATGCCACCTACCTTATTTCCACGGAGAAGCCTTTCCTGACTGAACCTGACCTGATCAAGCCCCTTCCACCTTTTTGTGCCCCCACCCACCCCTGCCCCCATAACACAGGGTTAGAGCCCTCACAGGTAGTTCTTGGACCTTCGGTACTTTTCCTATCTTACTCGGTTTGGCATCTGCTTCCCACTAGCCTTGCGAGCTTCGTGAGGGCAGGACCTCTTATCTGTCTTGGTCTCTCTGTGTCCCTGGGGCCTGACAGCGTGTCTACCCAGCACATTGCAAGTTCAATAATATCGAACGAGTTAAAATGCACTGTTTGTAGAGGAAGGAGCTTATACAAGTGGCTCAGTGGCTAAGCACTGAAAGGTTGAGGTTGGAACGCACCAGCCCCTCCCGAGAAGACGTGGCAGGGGAGACAGATGTGGCCATACATTTCCCTAAAGATCACAGCCTTAGAAACCCGATGGGATAGGTCGGCTCCGTCCAATGAGGGTTCTCTGAATCGGAACGGTCAACGGGGTAGTGTACAGTACGGGTTCTCTTAAATTAGCACTATCTCCCTTACACGGAGAGCTGTCAGGCCTCATTCTGCATCTATACGATTGGACATCTCGCATAACCATATTACATCGTTGATTTCCCCCATGTAAAACATGGAGACCCTGAGGCACGTAGCAGCTGAGTAACTCAGCCAAGGTCCACAGCTACAAACTGGAGGAAGAGGGGGTTAGATGTTCCAGGCTGTTTCCAGGGAAGCCATGCTCTCAACTTCTGGAGAATTCTATCCTAGAGCGATGCGCTGTGTGGGTTCCACCGCATGAACAGATCCGAGTCTCCAGCAGAGGGCTTTGTGTGTGTTTCCCGAGATAGGGCGCGCTCCGGTGCCACCCTCTTGAAGGCTGGGGTGTGGGGTCCTGGGCCGGGCTTTGGGAAGGGGCTTCGTGGCTGCGGCCCCCGGATCAACTTCCAGGGTTGCCCAGCTCACACGCCAGCGTTGCCCG